CTGGCGGCCCCCTCCCCGGGGGGAGGGGACCCCCCCCCCCGCCCGGCGAAGGGGCGATGGCGTGGGGTGGGGGGGTCGGTCGTGCGGCGGCGTTTTGCCTCCGCGCTCGGGGAGGAGGTGCGGAGGCGGTGGGATCCCCCAATGCCCAATTAGGGGTCTTAATGAGCGGATTTCCTCTCCTCTTCCACACGCGGGGCTCCGGCCCGGCTGAGGTGTTTTTTACCGGGAAGGAGGAAAAACGCTGCTGGAAATGTCCCGGCTGGTGGCGGGGCTGGCACCGTGTGTCCCTGCACCGCGTGGCCAGGCACGACGTGTCCCACTGTGGCGTGTCCCGGTGTGGCATGTCCCACCATCGCATGTCCCACCATCGCATGTCCCACCATCACATGTCCCAGCATCACGTGTCCTGGTGTTGTATGTCCCGACGTTGCATGTCCCAGCATCACGTATCTGGGCATCATGTGTCCCGGTATGGTATGTTCCACCATCGCATGTCCCATCACCGCATGTCCTGGCGTTGTACGTCCCGGTGTCGTGCATCCGAGCATGACGTGTCCTGGTGTTGAGTGTCTCAGCATCACATGTCCCACTATCGCGTGTCCCAGTATCTCATGTCCTGGTCTTGTGTGTCCCGGCACTGTGTGTCCCAGCACTGCGTGTCCCAGCACTGCGTGGCCGGGCACGACGTCTCCCACTGTGGCATGTCCCGGTGTGGCATGTCCCACCATCGCATGTCCCACCACCGCATGTCCTGGTGTTGTATGTCCCGGCGTCGCGTGTCCTGGTGTTGTGTGTCTCAGCATCACACGTCCCAGTATCGCGCATCCCAGTATCTCGTGTCCTGGTCTTGCGTGTCCTGGCATTGTGTGTCCCAGCATCGTGTGTCACGGCGTTGTATGTCCCAGTGTCACGTGTCCTGGTGTTGTATGTCCCAGCATCGTGTGTCTCAGCACTGCGTGTCCTGGTGTTGTGTGTCTCAGCATCACGCATCCCAGTATCATGCATCCCAGTATCTCATGTCCTGGTCTTGCGTGTCCTGGCACCGTGTGTCCCACCACCGTGTGGCTGGCATGACGTGTCCCATTGCGGCATGTCCCGGTGTGGCATGTCTCACCATCGCGTGTCCTGGCGTTGTATGTCCCAGCATCATGAGTCTGGGCATTGCATGTCCTGGTGTGGCACGTCCCAGTGTGGCATGTCCCAGCATTGCATGTCCTGCTGTTGCATGTCCCAGCACCGTGTGTCCTGGTGTTGCATGCCCCGGCATCGTGTGTCCCAGCATCACATGTCCTGGTGTTGCGTGTCTCAGCATCACGCATCCCAGCACCACACGTTGGAACTGGAGTATCTCATGTCCTGGTCTTGTGTGTCTCAGCATCACATGTCCTGGTGTTGCGTGTCTCAGCATCATGCATCCCAGCACCACACGTTGGACCTGGAGTATTTCATGTCCTGGCCTTGTGTGTCCCAGCATCACATGTCCTGGTGTTGCGTGTCTCAGCATCATGCATCCCAGCACCACACGTTGGACCTGGAGTATTTCATGTCCTGGCCTTGTGTGTCCCAGCATCACATGTCCTGGTGTTGCGTGTCTCAGCATCATGCATCCCAGCACCACACGTTGGACCTGGAGTATTTCATGTCCTGGCCTTGTGTGTCCCAGCATCACATGTCCTGGTGTTGCGTGTCTCAGCATCATGCATCCCAGCACCACACGTTGGACCTGGAGTATTTCATGTCCTGGCCTTGTGTGTCCCAGCATCACATGTCCTGGTGTTGCGTGTCTCAGCATCATGCATCCCAGCACCACACGTTGGACCTGGAGTATTTCATGTCCTGGCCTTGTGTGTCCCAGCATCACATGTCCTGGTGTTGCGTGTCTCAGCATCATGCATCCCAGCACCACACGTTGGACCTGGAGTATTTCATGTCCTGGCCTTGTGTGTCCCAGCATCACATGTCCTGGTGTTGCGTGTCTCAGCATCATGCATCCCAGCACCACACGTTGGACCTGGAGTATTTCATGTCCTGGCCTTGTGTGTCCCAGCATCACATGTCCTGGTGTTGCGTGTCTCAGCATCATGCATCCCAGCACCACACGTTGGACCTGGAGTATTTCATGTCCTGGCCTTGTGTGTCCCAGCATCACATGTCCTGGTGTTGCGTGTCTCAGCATCATGCATCCCAGCACCACACGTTGGACCTGGAGTATTTCATGTCCTGGCCTTGTGTGTCCCAGCATCACATGTCCTGGTGTTGCGTGTCTCAGCATCATGCATCCCAGCACCACACGTTGGACCTGGAGTATTTCATGTCCTGGCCTTGTGTGTCCCAGCATCACATGTCCTGGTGTTGCGTGTCTCAGCATCATGCATCCCAGCACCACACGTTGGACCTGGAGTATTTCATGTCCTGGCCTTGTGTGTCCCAGCATCACATGTCCTGGTGTTGCGTGTCTCAGCATCATGCATCCCAGCACCACACGTTGGACCTGGAGTATTTCATGTCCTGGCCTTGTGTGTCCCAGCATCACATGTCCTGGTGTTGCGTGTCTCAGCATCATGCATCCCAGCACCACACGTTGGAACTGGAGTATCTCATGTCCTGGTCTTGTGTGTCCCAGCATCATGTGTCCCGGCGTTGTATGTCCCAGTGTCACGTGTCCTGGTGTTGCATGTCCCAGCATCATGTATCTGGGCATCATGTGTCCTGGTGTGGCACATCCCAGTGTGGTATGTCCCAGCATCGTATGTCCTGGTGTATGTCCCACATCATGTGTCCCAGCATTGCCTGTCCTGGTGTTGCGTGTCCCGGCATCGTGTGTCTCAGCATCACATGTCCCACCATCGTGTGTCCTGGTGTTGCGTGTCTCAGCATCACGCATCCCAGTATTGTGTGTCCCAGTATCTTGTGTCCTGGTCTTGTGTGTCCCGGCATCGTGTGTCCCAGTGTTGTACGTCCCTACATCACATGTCCTGGTGTTGTATGTCCCAGCGTCATGTGTCCCAGCATCGCATGTACTGGTGTTGCATGTCCTGGCATCATGTGTCCCAGCATCAAATGTCCCAGCACCACTTGTCCCAGTATCACATGTTCTGGTGTTATGTCCCGGCATTGTGTGTCCCAGCATTGCGTGTCCTGGTGTTGCATGTCCCGGTATCACGTGTCACAGTATTGTATGTCCCAGCATCACATGTCCTGGTGTTGCATGTCTCAGCATCATGCATCCCAGTATCGTGCCTCCCAGTATCTCGTGTCCTGGTCTTGCATGTCCTGGCATTGTCCCACCATTGTGTGTCATGGCGTTGTATGTCCCAGCCTCACGTGTCCTGGTGTTGCATGTCCTGGCATCATGTGTCCCAGCATCAAACATTCCAGCACCACGTGTCCCAGTATCGCATGTTCTAGTGTTGTGTCCCGACATCGTGTGTCCCAGCATCACGTGTCCTGGTGTTGTGTGTCCCGACATTGTGTGTCACGACGTTGCATGTCCCAGCATCACGTGTCCTGGTGTTGTATGTCCTGGCATCGCATATCCCAGCATCGCATATCCCAGTGTCGCATGTCCCACCATTGTTTGGCACGGTGTGGCGTGTCCTGGTCCTGCATGTCCTGGTCTTGTGTGTCCTGGTGGTGTAGCGTGTCCCAGCATCCCAGGTCCCGCTGTTTCATGCCCTGACCTCCTGTGTCCCGCCGCTCCCGGTGCTGCTGTTACACCTCCAGGCACTGCCTGTCCTCCCGATGTTGCTCACCCCGACGTCGCACGACCCAACATCACTTGGCCGTGCGTCGCGTGTCCGGGTGAGATGGCACGAGGTCGCAGCCAGCTCCTCTCTGCCGGGCTCGAAGGCCACCGGAGTCTCATTTTGGGAGAAAAAATCTCCGTTTGGGACCTGAGCTGCTGTTTTTTTCCAGGTAAAACTTTACCCGCAGGCGCCGGGGGTGGAAAACTTCCGCGCTGGCTTTTTCCCTTTGCCCGGAGAAGATCTGTGCGACGCTGGTACCCGATGGCTTCGTCCCCATCCCAAACCCCCCCCGGAGGCGCAGGGAAAGCGGGCGGGGAAGCATCCCGCTGGCGCAGCCCCAGCGTCCGTCCATCCTCCCACAACCCACCAGCGGTCGGCGGAGGGGGACGGACACACACGGTGACCCCGAATCGCTCGTCCCCGCACCTTCCCCGCCCCGTCCCCGTTCCCAGCCCCAATTCCTGGGTGGTTTTTTTTTGCAAAGCCCCCCGGGGCTCGGCAAGCCCCGCCGCGGCCCCGTTGAGCCCCCCCCTCGCTCCCGGCCTGTTTACACAGCTGCGGGATAACCCACAGCTCGCCCTTCCCCCTCCCGCCTCCTCTCCGGCCCTTTTTTACCCCAAATCCAGCCCAAAAACTGTGCCGGGGGAGAAGGGGAAGGCCGAGCATCAGGGCGGCAAACGGGGTTTTGCGGGATGTTTAACAGAGCTCTCCCCACCCCCACAAAAACCTTCATCCCGGTGTTGGATGCTCCGGTCCTGCAGCATCCCCAGATCCCGGAGCTGAGCAGCGTCACCGGCTCATTTGGGATAAAAGCGGCCAAATTTGGCTCTTTACAGCTCAGGGGGTGAAAGAGAGATGCGATTTTTTTTGGCGGGGGGGAATAGATCTCCCGGTTTGGTTTGATAAAACTCTGTGTCTGGGAGCAAAAAAAAAGCTGGGAAAAGCCCCAAATTTTCCCCGGCAGGAGAGTTTGGGGCAAAGCGAGATGTGGGGAGGGGATGTGGGGGGGACCCGGAAAAGGAGGGGGGGGAATA